CTTGAGTCTATTTCTCTTCTTTGTATGGATCAAACTAAAAGTAATCAATTACGCTCACAATTTAAGTAACTAATTTTAAACATAACTATTACAATATTATTAATGATATATATTTATAATTCAGTTTTAAGAGTTAAATTAGAACAATTCATCTATGTAATTTTATATTTCAGATAATTTAAAGTTTGTTGTTGCGCAATTTATAGCGTGTTGCGGTGTTACGTAATGGTTTTTGACCGTAACAATCATGACGCGGTTCTCTTATCGTGTTGCGCCAATATTGCGTCGCGTGAACCTTAAAAAGTGTTACGATACGGGTGTTACGCTACGTTGCGGGCGCAATTTAATACTATGCGTATATCATCTGCTTCTCGATATAAGCCACCAAGTTGAAATGAACCTTCACTTTCGCTGAAAAGGTTTTCTGGAAGTGGAACAAGATAAATTATAACTATGAAACAAAGGGAGCAGGGACCACAACTCCAGGAATCAACATGTAAAGTAAGTATTCATGTATGTGATACATGAATATGAGTATCTATTACTTACACTCGAATTCAAATAATATAATTTTGATTCTACTCACCCGTTTCCGGGAAAATCGAAACGGAAGACGCTGATTCCTTCTATCTCCAAAGCAGCAGCAAGGTTCACCAAAATAGTGTCATCCTGAAGTGGAACTAACCCAAGTGAGCTTTTTCCATACAATTCGCTAGAAAATAGATGAAAGTGATCCAATTTTGAGAAGAAAAAAAAGCAAGTGCCAACCTTGGTGGATCTGAAACCATGGAATAAGACTACATTCCCTTTAGACTGAGTTTCATGCAATATTCCCACCAGTTTTTCTCCACGCTTGTTCGTAACTATCACCCTCCGCTGCTCAGTCACTAAAATTTCAAAAAAAAGGGTCACTTTCTTTCTGTCGAAGTTGGTTACCATAGAAAGAAAATGGAATCGTGATGAAGTTCTAAAAGAAGAAATAAAATCTGGGTTTTGTGCAGAGTGAGTGTTGGCCATCGTGAAGGTTGTTTAGTTTTCGTTGGAGATACGAATCAGATTAGTTGATAAATTTAAGAGCAATACTGGGCAAGCTAAAGGAGTACTTTTTCGTTCCAATAATCCCGACTAGATAGATAGATAATTATAAATTTCAATTCTTTAGTGGATCTGAATGCTCTTCATTTCAAGAAGGATCGAGTGGCTCAGCTGGTTCCCAAATTCGGAGCACCGCCACCGCACCATTTTCATCGACCATCGAAGCAACAGTAACCTCTTCATTGACGATCGAAGCAAGGTCGTAACTATTATGCATGCAAGTTGACAGCATACATATAATGGCGGGAAACAATAAATCATAAGTATAAATGGTGATAGGAAAAATAATAGGGACTAAATGTTGGAAAACTGTTGGGGGGACCATATTACAAATAAATTAAATATTAAGAGACTATATTAAAAGTTTTAAAAATTAGGGACCTAAATAAAAACTTTAAAAAAATTCAGTAACCATTACTATACTTTACCCTAAAAATATTTCGTATCATTTACATAAATATAATTTTGTAACAATCATAAAATAAATACTTAATTTGGTTTGATAATTAAGTCCTACTTCTTTTATCAAGTAATCACCTTTTTAAAAGGTTAAATTTATTAAATTATTATCGATATCAAATTGATATAATCAATATCAATAGATCTTCAAGGGTATTAAATTGTCGACTCAGATAAAAATAAAGCTTGAGAAATAAGATATTCCAAGAGGATTCCAACATCATGTTTGAGTTCATAAACGAGCAACCGTGTCTTGCTCTAAAGCCGACTTTATAAATTTAACAACAATTGATGTTAACTCGGTTTGATGCAAGGTGTACCGGTGATTAGCTCCCGCTATGATATATAATTGATGATTACGTATAACTTCGGCGAATTTAAATGCATCTTCAAGGGGATTTATCTTATCGGGCGGATCCGTGAACAGTCAGAACTCTGTATTTGACAATAACATTTAAAACCAAGTTAAGGATTAAAGAAATAATAATCGACAATCAGTTGGTCTAGTAGGATGAGACAATAGGTTCTTTAAGCAAAGCTCAGGGGTTTGAATCCTGACATTTGCAAATGAAGCAAAATGAGTTGAGAGGGTTGCCCTCGACTCTGCAGTACCCGATCTGGATTAATCTATCAATAGATCATATACCAGTAATTAATAGATATGTTTTGTGTTCGAATCTTACCGACATTCTTTACCAATATTACGGCAAGCTTCACGCATGTCCACTTTCAAGAGATTCATCAAAGTTTCCTCGGTCAGGCGGAATTCAACTCTTCCTATATCAACCTTGAAAATGTTATGATGTTACATCTTAACCATTTACATGCTGCAAGGAATAATTCTACTCTCAGGAAATTACCTTTCTTATTCTTAACATCGATGTGTCCTTCCTTCTTGATCCTTTCCATGAAGTCTGCTCCCATGGATTCATCCATGCCTCTCATCGTGTCGTAGCGGCCGGAAACATTTACGACAGCGCGGATATCATGATACTTCGAAGCATAAAGAAGCACCAGACTAGCACCTGCGTTACATTACATCGGTGGGATAATAGTTGCAGGTTAGTATGTGGCAAATTTCGTGTCGGAAACAGTTGGGGTACTCACCTTTACTATGCCCGAGAATCGCACTTACGACACGATTTTCCCCGGAAAAGTGTTCAACAACAGCACGTATATCATCGGCTTCCCGATACAAGCCACCTAGCTCTAATGAACCTTCACTTTCTCTGAAAAAAGTAGTGTAAAACAAGTTAAATTACAACTGTGATTTTGAAACATAGCATTCCCTGTCCAAGCAAAAGCCATCACATTTTCTCAAGTACAGATTGAGTACGAATATCTATTACTTACACTCGAATTCGAATAACATTATTTTGAATTTACTCACCCGTTTCCTGAAAAATCGAAACGGAAGACACTGATTCCTTCTTTCTCTAAAGCGGCAGCAAGGTTCACCAGAATAATATCATCCTGAAGTGGAACAAACCCAAGTGAGCCTTTTCCATGAATTATGACAATTCCCAGTAAACAGATATTTCAAGTCAATATATCCTATTAGGAACATCAGAACTGAAAAATAATTGAAATTCAACCTAGAATCAGACGCACATAAGAAATGATGTGGAGAAATTGGACTTCCACGTTGAAAGTGCTGAGCGAGATGTTATTGCAGAACTCGTAAGGATAGATGAATATTAGGTTCTGGAGTTCGGAGATAGTATGCTATCAGAAGTTCTGCGGAGTTTCGATTTAATCTTTCAAGTAAGTTTTAAGGCTCATAGGAGATGTAGGGTTCAATGTATCTCAAGTATGGTAGTTGGAAGATATATCTAATCTGATTTGGTACTTATCTACCTCATCAAGGAAAGAAACAATAATTATAAAATTCGAAACTCGATTTCCGGAAAACATTCTCTTAACATCTTACAAAATCAATCTCTATTATCTGCAACATAAACCTTAATAATTACCAATTAGAATTTACGAATATATCCGCTACCGAAAGCATGGTAAAGGGGCTGAGAATTATCAGATTTTGAGGAGAAAGTACCAACCTTGGTGGATTTGAAAGCATGGCATAAGACTACAATCCCTTTAGACTGAGTTTCATGCAATATTCCCACCATCTTTTCTCCATGCTTGTTCCTGATTATCACCCTCCGCTGCTCAATAACTAAAATTTCAACAACAAAAAAAATATCGATTTTCCTTCTCTTTCAAAGTTGTTTACATTAAAAAGAAAATGGAATGGTGATGAAGTTGTAAAAGAAGAAATGAAACCTGGGTTTTGTGCAGAATGAGAGTGAGCCATCGTCAAGGTTCTGGAGTTTGCTTTGGAGGTATTTTGGTGGAGCACGTAACTCCTTAAAAGGCAATGGTAAGGTTGAGTTGGTCTTGGAATGCCTCAATTATTGTCGCGTTGGACCCATTGGAGGAGACAGGTGATTGAGGGAGTGGTTGACACCACCAACTAAGAAGTAATTTATTCATATTAATTCTGTCACTGGCTGGCAGGTGGATAGAAGAGTGGTTAAGTTTGATTCACTGAGAGTAAAAGAACATTTATTTAAATGAGTGATATCATGAATTAGTTGAGTGTGTATAAATATATATATATAATGTTAGGAGATAACATATATTTTTTTAGTTTTATATAGATTTAGGGTAGTTAGATTAATAAAAATAAATGACAGTGAATGACTCGTTCAAAAATGGCTGTCTCTTTTTCCCATATATATGGGGTAAGGGGAGGTAAGATTACTACCCCCAACACCAGGTTGAGAGCAGCTTCCGTAAGAGACTTCTGAATTATGAAATGCCCTCCGTGAGACTCGATCCCACGACCTCAAAGTTAAGAACCTTGTGCTCTACCAACTGAGCTGGATGATCATTTCGAATGACTCATTCAACGACTCAATATTATAAAACTAAAAGAGTTTTATATTATGTAACAAAAACTTGTACCTATATATATATTCAATTAAAAAGTTGAAGTATAATATTTATTATTTTATTCAAAGAAAACTTAAGGTTAATTATATAATTTTTTATTGATAATTATTTATATAAAAAATATTAATTCATTCCTTTAAATCAATACTTTTTAATGCAAAGTTGATCTTGTATAATTTAATATGATATAATTTATGTACATTTTAAAATTTAAAATTTTGGTCATAACTCATTTTTAAATATTTAAATAGTTTGAGTTTCAAGATAATTATAATATAATATATATTTAAAACATTTCTTAATTATTGAAAATGAACACATATACCCTACATGCATACCTGGTCAAATCTAAGACGTCAAAAAGAAAAAAACACTCCTTTTAATCCCTTGATGTCTTCAATTCTGATCATAACTTAAACACAATACGACTATATTACAATAAGGTAAAACGAATCAAAATAGAAAATAGTAATTAAATCTACAATTTACCTATAAAACATTACAATGCTCTCAATCCGGACCCCTAACATTAACCTTAACAAGGGGTCAAATATGACTATGAATCAGAGGACCTTCAGAATCCTTCCATAATTGCATCCAATGAAGAAATTTACCAGGGGCTGATCCAACGAGATAACCTGCGACAGGGGTTACAGTTCTGGGTCATCAGCATTCTTAAGCTTCAATGGCGGCGACAGCTTCTTCATCGGTAGTATCAGATGAGATCGTTTCTTCTGATATATTATCATCGGAGAGATCTGTTTGACTTTCCCTTTTGCTCTCACCATCAAGTAGCTTTTCTCTAAGTTTCGTCACAAGTTCTTCGAGAGCACTTCCATTTTCAGCCAAAAACCTTTTAAAGGCTTCCTTGCCGCGGAATTTCTTGTCTTTGAAACTATAGATCGCGACAGATTTTGTTATGAGTTTGTGTTTCGTGGCCAAATCCATGATCTCACCTTCCCTGCTTATTCCCTTGCCAAACTCGAGCTCGAATTCAGCGTTCTTAAAAGGAGGGGCAAGCTTGTTCTTCACAACCTTCACAAGAACTTGACTGCCAATAATCTACAGATCATAGAAAAAAAACACAATGCGACAGAAAATGTACGAGTGAAATGTGCAGGATTGCAGATAAAGCAAACTAAAGGGAAATAAACAAACCACTTGTGTTTTGTACAACCGAAAATTTTCTTAACCTGCTACAACTAATAAATCCAATCAACAAAACAAAATGGAAAGAAAGGGCGTGAGCTAGATACCTCTTCCCCTTTCTTGATGAACCCCGTCCTCCTAATATTTAGACGCACCGAAGCATAAAACTTCAAGGCATTACCACCACAGGTAACTTCAGTTGGCCCGCCAAAACCGAAAGTCGAGAGTTTAGACCTCACCTGATATGCGTAAATAGTTGAGATCCGTAAGAATAAACAAAATATTTCCATTCTACATTTCGCATTCACAATCTAAAATCTCCAAAAGAACTATGCAACTGACTGCACAGTCCGAGGGCAAGTGCAGAGCGAGGACATACAGCATCAATCAAATAGCAATCTAATATAGCCTTAAAATGGGGCAAAACTCTTAATGTACAACACAGAAAGCATAATCTAATCGAACGAAGTCAAAAGAAGAACTGTAACAACTGCACACTAGCAAACTAAAGCTCTGGAGGATTATGTCGATAATATGGGGTTCATTATCAAAACGCATCAAGTATATAATTGGGTGACAAACTTAAACCTGATTTATAAATATCAGTATAGTTTCAGATAATGACAAGGAATGGCTTATTTTTCGAAGAGCCTGGCTCATCAGTCTAGCTTGCATTGCCATATGAGCGTCACCCATCTCACCATCAAGCTCGCCTTTAGGCACAAGGGCAGCAACCTGATATGAAAATAAAACTAGTAGGACTCACTTTAAATAAACAACAGAAATATCAGTATTGCACAGATAAAAATAAAAATATAGAATTTCAACCCTTAGAGAATGAGAACCCAATATTCAGCACACAAACAATAATTTGCATCAGCCCAGCCTAACTACCTAAGCAGTCTAAGGGAAAACATGGACAAGGAGAATAAATCATATTCACGAGTTGCGAACAAGACAGAAGCCCATTCTAACAACTATCGGCAGCATTTATCCTGTCAAGCTCCATAATGGAAAAGAAATGAATCCAGGAACACCTTACGCTGTCAACAACTATGACATCAACAGATCCACTACGTATAAGGGTGTCCACTAGACTAAGTGCTTGTTCTCCACAATCTGGTTGCGAAAGCAGAAAATTCTCAGTGTTTACCCCAATTGTCTCGGCTAGAGCACGATCAAGAGCATGCTCAGCATCGACAAAAGCACAATATCCTGCATTTGAATTTTATAAACACATGTAAGCATAACCAATCATGAATCACACAGTATTAAGTTAAAATAAATTAAGTGACCTCCTTGCTTTTGTGCTTCAGCAATTGCATGTAGTGCAAGTGTTGTTTTCCCAGAAGCTTCTGGTCCAAATATCTCCACAACACGGCCCTGTAAATTTCCAACAAAGAGATGTATAAGGAACTAATAAACATCACAAGCTGCAATTGTTTAGTATTAAACTAGCAGGGAAAAATAACGGAAAAATAATTGCAGAGTACCTTTGGAAAGCCACCAGCTCCGAGTGCCATGTCCAGAGAAAAAGAACCAGTGGAAACTACCGGAACATTTCTAGGATGCGTAGAACGACCAAGCCACATAATAGATTCTTTTCCGAAAGAACTCGCAATCTGATCCAGGGCTTGTTTCAAGGCTAAATCTTTCTTGGACATATTCTCGTCGCAGGAATCACTTGAATCTGATTTGGATTTCCTTCTACCTTCAATCAGACATAAACAAAGAAATACCCGAACACCAGAAAGTTTAAAATTTTATATAAAATGAACCCAGTTCAAGATAAATAGCCAAAGAACTTATCTTGTAGATGGCAGGAATTTATAGCAAATAGCAAACATGTTTCAATCTCATTGTTACTAAGTTAATGAAAATCACATCACAAAGCAAACTTCTACGGTCACATTAAAATAATTACCTAATTAAAAATCCCAGACATAAACCAAAATGTAATTTAGCCAAACATAGAACACTAAATAACCAAATAACAATGCTCTTGAGTACCCAGACTCAGATTGAAGCTTTTAATGGAAATTTCAATACCTTTAGTAGAAAAGTTACACAGCTGAGAAGATGAACTTAACACCCCTCCCCTACAAACCTGCAAAAAGAAAAATGGTTCAAGGTTTCATTTTATTCACAGTTTCTTAACTCGCAAAAACACAGTGCAGGATTATCAGATTGAAAATAACCACAAAAAATATATGAACTCGTGGAAAAAAATAAGCAAAAGGGTTAGCACTAAAACCTGAGCAGCAACGAGAGAATGTTTAAGAGACGAGATATTCCGAAGAAACGTCGACATTGCATGCAACGCAAAGAGCTTTGTTCAGAACTATAAACTCAGGGAAAAGGAGGGGAGGAGGAGGAGAAACTAGTCGTGAATAGACATTATTCCACGTATTAAAAAAGAGGGCAGAGAAATGAAGAGAAACACATTGAGCTGTGGGATTTTAGGGGATTTTCAGTACAGTGGTTAGGTACCAATTGGGCGGGGGGAAAGGGAGCCTGCTGGATGGGCTGTCTTAGGCCTTGAGGTTACTCTCGTTCGGTCTCAACCAGGTCAGACTAAGGTTTTTATTTATTTTTTACTCAGTTGGCCTGAATTCAATTAAATTAATAAAATATATTTTTATTAAAATTATAAATATAATTTAATTCCAAATAATTAATAAAATTTTTAAAAATTCATAATAATTAAAAATTATATTAGATGTATATAAAATATTTTTAATCTATTATATTCATTAAGATATATATATCTTGAGTTTTTTATGTCCAATGAAATTTTTAAGATGGATTGAAAAAAAATCAACAATTGATTAATTAATTGACTTAAATATACTAAAATTTCATCGGTTATCAATAGTTATCTCGACCCAAATATAAAGAGATTTTTTTATTAATCGAGGATAATTATAATATGATATATATTTAAAAGGCTTTCATTTATTTGACAATGAATCCTAATACCCTTGTAATTAGAACCCATAATTTCTAGAGATAAAAATTATCTCTTTTAACTATTGAAGTCACTTGAATTGAGTTAAATAAAATATATACTCACTCTCTCCTAATAGCTCACTCTTCCTGGCTGCTGCTAAACATTACATAATACAATTCCCAAAGTATCCTGCAGGTAACTTCAGGTGCTCTCTGCAATCTGCTCCGAAGTGGAAATACGAAACATCAGAATCTGATGAGAGATGTTGTTTGATCAAACAAACCCACATGTAAGCACATGTTACCACAAATGTTGACATCCTAATTGACTCAGATCCATTCACTTCCATGCAGTTTTTTATCACCAGTCTTTCAATGATTCAACTTGAGACCGGATGATTTTACAAGTGACCCGGATGTTGTTGACGAAAATGTCGGATGATGAAGATGAACCCTCCTGGAATACCCTGTGATTCATCGGGAAAAGGCCTGCTGCAGATCCTAAAGGGTCGTTGATTGAATCTCAGTCGAAACTGAGTAAATAACTGTCAAGGCCTGCTGCAAGTCAAATCCCCTTGAGATTTATGAATCGATGCCATGATTTCATAAAATGAGCAAGCGTCCTTCCGTCAGCTGCAATATGAGAGAACCCGACACCTATGGAAATGCCTACGTTAGGGAAAATAGTGACTTGAACGGCCATGGTGGGTCTTTGCATATGCTTGCAACCATTCGACCTGCTTGTTGCGATTGCAGGTGGCGAGTTCGGGACAAGAGCTTGAAATTCTCGACAGTGTCGTGCATGATCGGCTACTAGATGATTAAAATCTGCTGTGGAATCATACACAACAAGCGCAACATAGTCACCCTCCGTGTAGAGAATAGAAGGCATTTGAGGAGGTGGAGGTAACACGAGATAACCGGCGAAAGGAAAGAAAAGTTGCAGGGTGAGGGAGAGAGATGATTTGAGTTCGGGGAGAATCGTTTCCATGAAACACGATGTGGGATAATGGAACTCAAAGAAAAACAGACGTTGCATCCAGTCGTGTGGAAAACAAAGGAAATATATATCAAAGCAGGTGAGAGGGAGAGAGGTTGTTGGAACTGAGCCTGGTGAAGGAGATACATGGCTGACATCTTCAACTACTTTCATGCTACTGTATACTGAAATAGACATTAACTGTGTACTGTTAGATCGACGATCCCGGTCCCTATTTATGAAGCTCAAACTTTGAAAAATTATATTGAATCTATATAGCTTGCAACTTGTCCAAGTCCAAATAATTGAAATAACTTAGCTGCAACTTCACCAACCACATGGTATAAACGAAACTATGAACAATAAAATAAATGGTATAAAACAAAACTAAAAATAATTGTAGGGGAGACAATTTTAATCTCACGAGTTTTCGAGCCGAATCGAGTTTAATTTTAAGATTTACGAGTTGAATTGAGCTCAACAATATTCGAGTTCGACTCGAGTTATGCAATACTCAAATAAAAAATTGAAACTCGACTTAAACTCGAACGCTCACAAGTTTAAAATTTTCAAATTCCACTCGAAATAAAAAAATTAAAGTTCAACTCGATCTCGAACCCTAATCTTAAATACATGAAACACGATGTGGGATAATGGAACTCAAAGAAAAACAGACGCTGCATCAAGTGGTGTGGAAAACAAAGGAAATATCTATCAAAGTAGGCGAGAGGGAGAGAGGCTGTAGGAATGAGCCTGGTGAAGGAGATACATGGTTGACATTTTCAACTGCTTTCATGCTAGTACCGTCTACTAAAACTAAAATAGCCATTAACTGTGTACTGTTAGATTCTATTTTAGGTTCTGAGATTGAATTTTAATATACAGTTTGTGTTGTTGTTTATATGTGATCTTTTAGTAGTTTAATATCCTTTTATGAATCATTTTTCGATATAATTAGATCTATTCATGTCCATATTTTATTTGAATTTTTAGTTGATTTTTTAACATTTTCTTTGTATGGTCTTGGTATAATCTCAAACACTTCAATTTTGATAAGAGTAAAATAAAAGTGAAATGAAATATTAGAAATATTTTTAAAAAATAATGGAGGACTAAAATGAAAAAAGCTAGGGAAAATGACTATATTAGCTAATTTACCTTAAAATTTAACACTATTTTGTAATATACAATGACCATTTTATATGAATTCAATAAATTTGATGGCCACTTTTTAATTTCTGCAATTTCAGTGACTAAACATATATTTTAACATAAGTTAATGGAATGCCGGTTTTCGTCGCTCAAATTTGAAATTTATAAAGACAATATCAGTAAACCTAATCTCATCCTTCTTTTCCACTTTTGAAGCATAAGGAAATGCTCAGAAGAAAACCCACCAAAATCGAAGTCAGGCCCGAAGACAAGCAAGAACTCGAAGATTCCCGTAAGCCCTCTCCTCCACCCACCGCCGCAACCTCCACCGCAACCTCCACCGCCACTACCACCTCCTCCTCTTCCCTTCTCCATCTCCTCGATCACTCCCACCCCAACCCCACCTCCAAATTTCAACGCATCGGTCTTTCCCCCTGATGGAAGTCGAAGTCAAGCTCCGCCTCCAGGACGCCGCCACCCATCGTCAATTAACCACCATCCTTTCTCCTTTCCTCTCCAAAACCCTCCATCAACAAAACCTCTTCTTCGACACCCCAACAAATACCCTTTCCTCCCAACTTTCCGTTCTTCGCCTCCGCTTCCTCGACAAGGACGCCCGCTGCATCGTTTCCCTCAAATCCAAACCTACTCTGGTAGATGGTGTCAGCCGCGTGGAGGAAGATGAGGAGGAACTGGATCCCTCTATTGCACGCGCTTGCGTAAAGGACCCTGCGAGGTTGGCGAATATCAAATCGAGGATTCTAAAGAGGCTTAAAGAGGAGTTTGGGGTTGGAGAAGAAGTGGGTTTTGTTTGTTTAGGTGGGTTTGAGAATAAAAGAGAGGTTTTTGATTGGAAAAATCTGAAGCTGGAAGTGGATGAGACTAAGTATGAATTTGGAACGTGTTACGAGATCGAGTGTGAATGTTCGGATCCTGACGGCGTTAAGAAATTGCTTGAGGAGTTCTTGAAGGAAAACGGGATTGCTTATTCGTACTCTAAGATGACAAAGTTTGCTGTTTTCAGGTCTGGTGAACTCCCCAAGTGAGGTGAGTTTGAGCCTTGAAGTTAGTTTCTCTCATTGACGGTTTAAAAAATTGTTATCTGAAAGATAATTTGCTGAAATATTTGATTATTTATGTTACATGTAAGTTGCTGTTTGATTGTTTTGATTGGTCTCTCATTGATTCTTGACATTTATTTGGATGAAATCAAGGCTGATCATAATTGTGGGTATTCGACGATATTTATTTGCGTGTTTCTGGTTTTCCTGGTCACGTATTTGTTTAAAATGTTAAAGCGATTTAATCTTTTTTACAGTACCAATAATCCTTTTGCAAAATAATAATCAAGTTATTGCTTGTTCTTCCACACTTAGTGTAGCAGCAATTGTGTGGAAAGAAAGAACCAGAAAAATAAACCCAAATGCTTCAAAAGAAAAATTTAGAAAGCGATGAATAGAATGTAAGAGTAGATAGTTTTATTAGTGCCATTGAATGTTATGACTTGGAAGAATTGTTCTCTTTGGTTGTTGTTCTCCGAAGCCTTCACCGATCATAGGCCGGAAACGTAAAAGCTGTGAATAGTGTTAACTGCAACTGTATTCAGCATATGTTTTACGCGAGTCAAGTAGATGGTAAAGGCTAACTTATTGAGTTTTAGAAATCCATTTGTCTATGTGCGGTTGCACATTTGTAGTTTCAGAATCCATAAATTCATCCATAATAGGACTCGAATAGCTGGCTTAAGGTCGACAATGTGTAAGAAATAATGACAATGTAATTTATATAGCGTATCCATCCATCTTCGCCTGTAGAACTCGCTTCATCCTAATGAACTCATGTGGTTTCACTCTTCCCTTTCCGTGTCTAGATTTGCAGTGAGGACTTGTTTAAGTTTACACGGCAGCATTGCCGTTAAATTGCAAGTTTGTTCTTCGTCAGCTGTGAAGTCTTCTAATTCTTGCAGAGTTGATTTTTAGTCACCGAGTTAATCTGATAATGTGCTATTCCAATTTTGTAGGATTTCATGCATTCTGATTATCATACGAGCAATGGCAGAGAGGCAAGGCTGATCATCTTCCATGCAAAAATAAATTTTTATTCTCTCGTAATGTGATTCTAAGACCTTATATCATCGGCAATGGAAAGACAATTTAACAAGTCTTGTCTGTCTGCTTTTGTGGGTGTTTTCTGTGAATTTCTTTTGATTCTGTTTCAGAATTTTGCCTATGCTATCTCTGTCTTTTTTCTCTATCCTCCCAATTCTTCTTGCTATTTATATGGTATAATTTATTAATTATATATATAAAACAATTTTATACGACAAAATACATATAGAATACAATTTATTAATTATAAAATATGAATCCAACATTATTTGTTCTGAAAAGATTGAAATATGAATTCAACATTGAATTTAAAGAGTGATAATATTTGGTTGGGAAGTCACAGGTTGAAGTCCCATAACATAATTAAGTCACATAACAAATTCTTGGTAGTTCATGCAAATATTAATATGAAAAGATACTATTGTCCATTTCCAGCTTAAAAATATCTAAGCAAATCCACACATCAGTAATTATTCCAAACACTTGTACCAACTCAGCCAGCCAGCTTAAATATAAAAGTTGCATCAAATAAAAAAAACAAATATTTATCAAAATGATCATTTTGATTTTTTTTTTTTTGGAATGCTTTAACCTTCGAAGTTTTAATTGTTGATAAAATATTATCTATATTGGATGAAAATCGTTAGTTAACTAACAATTAATACATGTTGTTAATATGACGTGATATTTTTATATGTATTAAATTGACGATGTGTCGTATGACACATCATCTAAAGTGATGATGTGGCATGTTCTATGTCACCAAAATTATGATATGACACATGATATGTCAGTAATTAAATACATGTAAAAATATCTTGTCAGCAACATACGTTTAGATAACTAATGGTTTCCATCTAATATAAGTGATTTTGATTAGAAATCAAAATATTAAAACTAAAATGTTTTAGAGATTAAAATAATCATTTTAATAAACATACATTTAGATAACTAATGATTTTCATCCTATATAAGTTATTTTGATTAGAAATTAAAATATTATGAACAATATACTAAAACAAGAGTAGATATTAAAATTATCATTTTAATAAATATTGGGAGTTAATTTTGACATTATACTCTAAAAAATTATAATATCCAATGATGCAAAACAGATAAATTTGAGGGGGTTAATGTGTAAATATCGGAAAATACACTAAATGGATTGTATTTCTTTTCAGAAACAGGAAGACGACACCCTATCGAAATTCTTTGGAATAATAATTGCTTCGACAAAGTGGCTTTGGCTCTTTTGCCTTGGCCGTGGGGCATGGCTTCGGCTGTCATGATGGAAGAGGAATTAGGGTTGAAAAAAGGGAAAATTGAGAGGAAATCGATTCAATTAAGGATTTTGAACGGGGATGAAATGATACACGAGAGGGCTGGGAAGAAAATGAGCAACTTATCGTTGGGGTTAGAGTTGAGGAGGACCTTGGGTCAGCTAAGGCCAGACATGGGCCTGGTTAATGGTGGGCCACGGGTTGTAATCTGCTGTGACGCCAGCTACTTATGAACCTGCATGAATCAACATAAATTAGTTATTTTGTTAGATTTCTAGTACATGCCAACTGTGGGTACTTGTAATTATATAAAATTGTACCTGATTCCATTTGGAATCATCTTTTATGAATGAATGAACTATTTTCTTTATAAATTCCTTTCTATCATTTTCTGAAATCTCAATTCTTCATCCTAATTCGTGACAAATTGGTAATCAGAGCCTAGGTTCTGGTCAATCAGAAAACTGGGAAAGCATAAGAAAGCTCAAATAATGTCAGATGATGCAGCGTTGACTGCCATTCAACAGAGCATTAAGGAGTTACAAAATCAAGTGGCAGATTTGAAAGATGATAACCAAATGCCAAAATGGTGGGAAAAGAAGGAGCAAAGGTTGGAGAACCTAAAATCCGAGTTTGTTGAACAAAAATGATATTTGACTAATATCCTGGAAATTTTGAGGAGTAAATAAGGAGATGAAAACTTATGAAGAGGAAACAAGTAATGGTAAGAAGAAAGACAACCAGGAAACTGATATCTCCAAATCAACAGGCAAGTTTCCTATACAAGTTACTGTAATAGGAAACAAAAGAGAGGTATTCTTATCAACCTAATGAACCATACATTTTAGCATCTAAACAGTGGCTTTCCAGAGTTCAATGCCTGTGAATCAGAAGTTACACCTAGATAACAATGTAGCTAGTGCTAGTGAGATTAAAATGGGCAGTGAAGGAGATATTGATAATAAAAATTCATTTAGAGGTCCTTTTGGAAGCTTAGGGTCTATCTTACCTCGACCAAAAATAGAGTTACAAATGTTTGATGGTAGCAATCCTAGAGGATAGATTAGAAAATGCCAAAAATACTTTAATCTATTGGGAATTCCATAAGAGCAGAAATTGGAAGTAGCTGCCATGTATCTAATGGGGAAAGTTGAGACTTGGTTTGATGGCTATATCATGTAGAACTATAGAGTAACATGCCATGAATTTGAGGCAGACTTGTGCCATAGGTTCTATGACAGAAATTATTCAGATATTATTGAAGAGTTTAATAAGTTAATGCAAAAGGGAGTGTGGAAGAGTACCAAGAAAATTTTGAGGAGTTAAAACCTTATTTGCTATAACAGAATATGCATTTGGGGGAAGATTATTTTGTTTCCAGCTTTATTAGTGGCCTCAAGGAAAACCTGATTCATAAGGTTAAGGTGTTGGAGCCTAAGACTCTATCTGATGCATATAGGCAAGCCAAACTTTATGAGTTGGCAAATGAGATTGAGATAAAAAAAATATAAGGTTCTTATCATAAATTTTGCTTACATACCTTAGAATACTCAGCCAAAGAACTTGAACACTTGTGTAATGGCTAAAACAAGTTCCCTGAATAATAATGCTAAACAAAGTTTGTTGGAGTATAGGAGCTCACAATTTGTGCTTTAAATGTGGGGAAAAGTTTACCCTAAGACATCAATGCAAGATCAGACAACTGAATTGAATAGAAGAATAAGAAGAGTCTACTGAAAATGATATAACTAAAGAAGAATCTGAAGAAAAAGGAAGAAGCAGAGAAGGAAGCTATGGAAATATCCATTAATGCCATTACAGAAAATGTAGGTCACACCACTTTGAGAATAGAAGGGTTTATCAGGGGAAAACCAGTGAATATACTGATAAACAGTTGAATCACTCATAGTTTTGTAACTCCTATATGGGCTAAGGAATGAGTGGAGTTAGTAAAAACCCTACCATTGGTAATTACAATAGCTAATGGAGAGAAGCTGTACAACAATGCTAAGAGTAACAAGGTGAGCTGGAATATGCAAGGATATGAATTCCAACATGATTTTAGAGTCTTGTCCTTAGGAGGCAGTGACATGATGCTTGGTGTGGATTGGATGGAGGAATTCAGTCCCATTTTGATGGACTTTAAGACTAGGACTATCAGTTTTATGAAAGAAGTGAAGACTGTTGTTATTAAAGGAACTCAGAAATTACCCCTAGTCAGAACCATCACAGGAGAAAATTTTCAGAAATTAGCAGAAAATGATACTGAATTGAGTGGGGAAATTTTTTGGTTGAGTACTGAAGTTGCTGAAAGTACAATTCCTGGATCACTTCAGAATTTACTGGAAGAATTTCAAGAAGTTTTTGAAGAACCTAAAGGAATGCCTCAAAGAAGGAAACATGATCATGCTATTGTCCTAAAACAAGATTCACAACTTGTAAATCTCAAACCCTACAGGTTTACACACTCCCATAAGGCTGAAGTAGATAAGCAAATTGCTTAAATGCTATCAGCTTCTATCATTCAAGTTAGTCAAAGCCTTTTTCTTCTCCTTGACTATTAATCAAGAAAAAGGATGGAACTTGGAGATCCTGTGTAGATTACAGACAACTTAATTCTACTACTATCAAGAACAATTTTCCTATTCCTATAGTGGAAGATTTACTAGATGAACTTAATGGAGCTGTATTCTTTTCAAAAAATGATCTAAGGTCTGGATATTGGCAAATCAGAATTAAGGAAGAAGACATTCACAAGACTGCTTTTAGAACTCACCAAGGACATTATGAATTTAAGGTAATGCCCTTTGAGCTTACTAATGCTCCAGCTACTTTTTAAGCATTGATGAATGATTTATTTGGTGAATATTTAAGAAGATTTGTTCTAGTGTTCTTTAATGACATTTTATTTTACAGCTCTAGTTTGGCAGAACATGAACAACATCTAAGAATTGTTTTAAAGATTCTGCTGAAGAATAAGTTATATGCTAAAAGGAGCAAATGCTTATTTGGACAACAACAAGTGGAGTATTTGAGGCATGTGATTTCAGCACAGGGAGTGGCTACTGATCCTGCTAAGATTCAAGCAATGCAGCAATGGCCTTTGCCTAAGAATTTGAAAGCTTTGAGGGGTTTCTTAGGGTTGACAGTATATTACAGAAAAATCATTAAAGGATATGGAGAGCTGAGCAAACCTTTGACTAATATGCTCAAGAAAGAAGGATTTTATTGGACTCAGGAAGCAATGACAACATTTGAAGAACTGAAACAAGTTATGTGTAAAGCCCTAGTCCTGGCCTTACCTAATTTTGAGCATATTTTTTTTTGAAACAGATTCTAGCTCAAAGGGCATTGGAGCAGTGCTATCTCAGGAAGGAAGGCCTATAGCTTATCTCAGTAAGGCTCTTGGACCAAAGCATGCAGACCTTTCAATCTATGAAAAAGAATATCTAGCAATTTTAATGGCAGTTTCCCACTGGAGACATTATTTGGAAAGTGCAACATTTATTATCAAGACAGATCATGAAACCCTAAAACATCTACTGGAGCATAAACTAACTACAACTATTAAGAAAAAAGAACTTACTACGTTGTTGGGGCTGGATTATATAATTCAGTCCAGAAAAGGCAAGCATAATAAAGTAGCAGATGCTCTTTCTAGACAACAAAGAGATTCTGGAGAATTTTTACAAGTGGGCATAACAATTATCACTCTTACTTGGATACAGGACATTGAACAGAGTTAAGAGGATGATGCCATTGTACAAGAGAA